TTTTTTTTTTTTTTTTTTTTTGGTAAAATGAACCGTTTTTTATTTATATGATAAAGAACATACAAACATCACAAAAACAAGATCTAAGGTTTGGTGCAGTTGTAGTACTGTTTATCTAATTTATGGTGAAAATTTTTTACGTGAAATCACGTGACTACAACTAGGATTATACTAAAGTTACTATTCTCGAAAACTCGATCTTCTTCTCTTTTAAATTGTTTTTCCATAACGCTTTTTTAAGTTGCTCTTTTGTCGTTAATATTTTTCTCATCAATTTCTCGATTTTCTTCTTTTACTCTTTTTGTGAAATCTAGTGTTTTGGGTGAAACCGAAACTTAATATCTAGCGAAACTTCCGAAACTTGGCGAAACTGGTTTAGCCAAATGTGCAAAATTCTGAAACTGGCGAAACTCTGAAACCTGGCGAAACTAAAAAAGTCACGTGTTAAACTTCCAAGATATTAAATTATTTTAGATGTAAGGTAGGATTTTGTACAAGTCATTTTTGACACTTGCTACCAAATATTAAAAAATTTCGTCATAATCTAATTAGTTAGAATATGATTGTAAATAATTGTAAATTAAGACTTTCAACCACTATATGCACTGGTTTATAAAGCCTCTAACATGTTAAAGTTTAAATAAATAATGTGAATTCCTACTAGTAAAATATCATAACTAGTTGAGTTGTATTGAAGATAAAGAAGAAAAAAAAGAAATAATGATTTCAGAAAATTGAATAATGAACGTAAAAAACAAATAGATATTAAATGGGAATAACAAACATACAATGATGCATTGAACAAAACATGATAATAAATTCATAATTTTGGAAAATACTATTCGTAAGATATTGTAAATATGATAAAAATATATGTATATATAATTTATTTAATATTCCAACTAAAGCGAATAAAATAAATAAATATGAAAACGCGAATGATAAAAAGAATTTGGATTTGCGATTTTGAAAATTTAAAATTTAATGTTAATTGGACGAACGGGCGTGTAATCTACAACTGGATTTTAAATGAAACATATTTAACAACCAATTAAAAATACATGCATGTGACAATTTTAGTTTCGGCTGAGTTTCGGAAGCTTCGGACATTTCGTCAATCGCAAAACAGTTTCGCCCGAAACATTAGTGAAATCATTATTCAGTGTTGTTATGTATCACATCATGTGATTCCGCCGCAATGAGCTATTTACATATAATTTGGTTAGATCGTCATGGTGTTTAATTCCGGTTTTTTTTGTGTATAGCCGATATCTGAACACAATTACTGCGTCTAATCATCTATTGTGTGACTATATTGGAAATCCCATTCCGATTATATAAACTTCTTGGTCTAGAATAAATAATGTTTTGTATTATATAACAAGGGCTTAAATAATATATGGAACATACTAACGCTTTAAGTTAATCCACGTATTTTATTATAAAAAAATTTTCAATTTCTTTCAAAAAATTGCTTTCGAAAATTTTCCGGGAAATGATCCTCGTATTTGTTTACAAAATAAACTTTACTTGTCGATCATAATTAGCAAATGGGTTGGTCGTACATGTATAATAAGTATAAGAAGGATACATTTACGTAAGAAATGAATGTAAATAAAAATCCGAAATACATTCCTGAAACATTCACTTTATTATTTTTTCTTAACAAAGTAGTTCATTGATTTTCAAATTATTAATCGTCCTGGCATTTTTTTAGTTTGTATAAATATCGAATTCTAGCATCGAAAATATCCATATGTATTTTTCGTTGTATCATTATATTAATATTAAAACAAGTCTCTCGTTGTAATTTTCAACTCCCTTATGATTATTGATAATGCTTTTCTTCTGCTTAATCGTTATTTGCCTGTATCTCAATGAGTCCACTTTGGCTTTCACGCCTAACAACACAGTTTGGGGCCACAGCGCCGTATTTGCATATTCTAGAATATATTTTACAGGTGGTCTCTTTCCCAAATACAAGGATGATTTTAAAGAATCAACACTTTCCAAAGAATTTTATTATTTAGACGTCGAGAAACCCTTTAAAGTCGGAGCAGGAGATAAATTACCTTGGGTGGATCTTAGTTCCGTATCGCAAAATATTCCAGCACATACATGGAGCGCCTTTTCAAACTGTGGACTTGATAATTCTCTATTTTTGTATAATGGAGAACAAGGAACAGATACTGCTACAGTCTACACTTACACAAGTTTACAACAATGGAATATCTCTACGACCATCAATCCACCTCAATATAATTTTCACAGCCAGAGCCAGACCGTTTGTGATGTTAGAACTGGAAAAATGTATAGATTTAGTGGACTCAATCCGGGACTTCAAATTAACCAAATTAATAATTATATGGATATTTTGAATACATCGACGCTGGTGTGGGAACATGTTAACATTAATGCTCAAGAAGGAAGGTACGATCATACGGGTACTTTATTGCCAAACGGTTATATTGTTTATATAGGTGGTAAATTACCTAACGGAGGATTTGTGAAAATGTCAGAGGTAAATCGGCACCGTTTAATTGATTAATTGAGGGTCTAAATTGTATATTTACTGATAATTTTTTTTTTTAAAAAAAAAAAAATAGCTACTTTTGTATAATACAAATAATGATACATGGATATCTCAGAAAGCCACTGGTTATTCGCCAACACCTCGTGCATACCATTCTGCCGTTCTGAGTAATTATATATTGTTGTGAATTAAATTTAATAAAATGGGTAATATATTAAATTGTTCTCTAATTTATATAGCTCAAGATGGTCGTATTATCGTGTATGGAGGTTATACTGGTAGTGGTAGTATTGTAAGCGATGATCTTGTGATATTAGATACATATGATTATACATGGTCAAATGTGAATGCTATAGATCCACCACCTTCACGTTTTTACCATACGGCTACTTTGGTCGGTTATTATATGTTCGTGGCTTTCGGAAAAACTAATAATGAATTACCACTACCCACATCAAATGAAGTATTTATTTTAGACACGTACGATAAATCTAATTACAAATGGGTTAATGAGTTTAATCCAGATCTTTCAGATCGTCCGAATCTTCCAGATCAAAATTTATACAAAAATCTAAGTACTCAAAACAGATATCTTGTCATAGGAATTATAATTTTATCAATCGTGCTTGCCTTGATAGGGGCTTCATTTCTTATATACTTTTATTGGAAAAGAAGACAATCAAGACCAGATATACGTGTAGCCTCATCACAGGAAAGGAAATATAATAATCAGTGATAACTTAAAAATATCAGTTAAAATTATTTATCTCATGTTTACTAATTGGTCGCCAGTGATTTTTTTGATGATATATTCATGCCTGTAATTTTTCTGATAATATTTTTCATGTTCACGTGTTTTTATAATTTATTTATACCTTTCCCACTCTTTCCCTCTTTCCCATCACTGGACGTTAGTCTCCATGAGATAAAAGAGTTATTTCATGTGTCGAATAAATATCATGATTTTCACGGCTGCGCCGTGAAACGTTACTGTATTATATAATATTGTTTATAAATTTACTTATACTTAAATAAAATATTTTTAAAATTATTTTATTATTGAGATTTATTATTTACGAGTGAAATCATTAATATGAACTCTTTATCATGTATACTACTGGGTTCCTGTTTTATTTACTAGGAGAAAAAAAATGTTTAAAACGTTAATTCCTTCAATGTGTATTATACATGTGTACTATACATGTGTGATCACAAGAAAAGTCCACGAAACACTAGAACAAGAAAGTTTAACATTCTTTCCTAATTTTTTTGTACATGATAATATTTCGATCATATTGAGCATTTTTATTAATGTGCGAGAGTGTGATATCCCGTGTTATAATATATCATTATCAGAATCTCAGCGTTCGTGATAAAACTTCATGGCAAATTTTTTTTCAAATAAACATGGGCTATCTCGTACATTTGTTAATACAGCATGATATTATTAAACGTTACTCCTCAGTAGTTGAATTTACAACCACACGAACTTGTTCATTAGAAATCTGTTGAATAACTACCCATTCAAGATGTTTATTACTTCTACACAAGTGAAAGAATATTTTAGGAACAGCCATTGCGAAAAACTCGCTATCTTTATTCGGTAGTGTCTATTATTCATACAAAACTAAATTTACTAAAAAGAAGTAACATTTGTGGACTATCAAATATTTGCTGGTACTAGTCTATATCTAGTGAACTCTTTGTTCCAAAATTTCTGTACAAAGCATACGATAGTTTCCATGTACATGATACGTGAAGCGTACCCTTGGGTATCATTGTAATGGTAAATCGGACAACAAAGGTTATTAAAATAGAGATTATGACTATGGCCGTACCTGTTATGCTTTGTATGAGTTACCAACACTGCATGATACGTAAAGCGTACCCTTGGATATTGTACTATTTTTTGTATATCAGTCTTGAGTATGGACTCTGGTTAACAATGAATATAAAAAACTTCGCAAACATAATTATGTTATAACATAGTAGTTGCTAACTTTTTGCTAAGAAAAGAAATAACATAAGAAACCAATTACATGAAATTTTCGTACAAATAATTATGCTATGTTTTCTCTTTATATCATTATATGCGAGTATTTCCCTTCTGTTGTTAATACTGTATATTCTTCAAGCTCTTGTTGAAATTAATTAAAATAGTAGTATCGATGGTATCTAGTGAAAATAAACGTGTGAATATATTACTTTGTAACTTCCCAACAAGCATAATATGATCTGTTTTGATATACGCCCATTACGTAAATTCTGTTTAATATCATTCAAGGAGAACTTACCTATAATATTATCTGACGAACGCACATCACCATTTGTACTTAATCCATTCCAAAGAGGAACAAGTATAACAAAAAAGTTAACTTTCCAGGAAGCAGAGCTCAACGTTGAGCGTCTTGCTGCCCAACCACGCTCTTTATTCATTTAGTGTATACTATTGCTTACAAAAAAAATAAGGAGTACGTTCCTAATGGTAAAGGACTCTTTTTCGCAGTAAAGAAGGCTATCTTGGTTATCGATAATACTAGTATAATACTTTACTACATGTACAAAATACAAATGTTCAATTTATTTTTCGCGTGGTTCAGTTTCTAAATAATAAAGATGTTTTATGAATATTTCGAAAGAAGACAGGATTTATTTTTTTCATCTGCTGAATCCCTTGCTACTTGCTATGAATGTTGTCGATCTTCTAATAGATTTTTGTTTAATTCGATCAATTATCACATTTAAGTTCACTTCATTATTTACATCCTGAGATTGTAGACTACTACTACCTCTTTGTGAAATCCGGATATTCTTCTATTTGAGTGATGATAAACCGGCCAACTGCGCCGTGGATCACGTGAGTGAATAGGACCCGAGTTATATAGATCGGCACACATTTACTATTTAGCTCTACGCATTTCTTAAGGGCCGGCATTATATAGGTAATGCTGGTCGGCGATTGTTTAGAATGAGCCAAAAACATGTAGATCGCATCCATTGAATCCGCAAGAAATCACGAGACATACGTAATTATGACGACAATTAATGAGTCGATCTTATACTAAGCCGAGGCTTAGATTTTTTTTGATCGATAATTTATTTATCAATTCCAATAGATTTAACGATAGCCTAGCCTCCAAAATTTCCTTTTTAAAATGATTGAACCGATTCCTAACCAAACCTCATTTGGAATTTAAAACAATATATAATTAATTAATGGAGCGACGAAGTTTTACTAAATTTTCTAAATTTTCTAAAAAAAAAAGAAAAAAAAAAGAAAAATGCGATCCAATTATTTTAAGATGTTTACACTATTTATAATTATTTTATTATGTATTTATCCTTTAAGTACAATAACAGAAATAAGAACGTTTTCACATATTGAAGAAAAAGATTATGGAATAGAAACACCACCTAGAGTAGCAGAAATAAAATCATATGATAATATTGTAATAATAAGAATTGTTAGAAATGATACAAGTAAATCTAATTCAATTGAACATTGTAATTATGATACACTTTTTTTAAGAATTATTAATTCTGATGGGACAGTAATAGAAAAGGATATTAAATTAGAAGGGGTTCAAATCTTTAATTTTTGTTCAATGAAAATGGGAAAAGATGAAGCAGAAGATCATTTAAAATATGAAATAATTGGAAAGGATAAACTTTTCGTATTTTATTATAATTCAACAGATGATATAAATGTTGAAGGATGGGGAATGACAATTGATTTTGATGGTAAAGTGATTGATAAAATACCTATAGGAATTTGGGGTTATAAAGGATATCGTAGACTTTATAGACTTAGAGTACCACGTATACAAATAAGTTTTAATATTAATAAAGAAAAAGGATTTATTATAGGGTATAGACCATTGCAAAGTTATGATTTTGAATGGAAACAATATAAAATAGAATTAGATGGAAAATTTACAATTTTGATTAATGGAAAGATTCAATTAGATTCTAGAGCAATAGTTGGGTATGATTCATTAATACCGACAGTTAATGAAAGTTACTCTTTTATTTATAAATTAAATAATACATTCTCAAATTCATTAAAGGATTTAATTGTTGCAGAATTAATAGGGTATAATAAATCTGATACAGCTAAAGTTTTCCTTTATCGAGGAAACTTATTAAATAGAATACCTCAACCAATATCTTGTAATATAGAATATGTTGGAGTTGGACATTCTTGTTCTTTACCTATAAAATATAATGAAAGTAATTTTAATCTTAAAATTGGATTTTTATCATCTGGGGCAACAATTGCAATAAATATTACGCCAATTACTTTTCCTAATAATCAAATTGGTTTTAGATCTTGGAAATTACAAAGTTTATTATTTGGTGGTTATATGTTAACAGAACGTGCAAAAATTGGTATGGAACATAGATTATATACTTACATATTTGCTGAGAATGGTATTTTAGGTTTAGAACAACCTTTACTGACAAATTTAAATTATGCTTATGCAATATTGCCAAATAATAGTATCTTGGTCGCACAACAGGAATATAATAATACTTGGGGATTTAATATGATTAAATTACCTAAATTTACAAATGATAATGGATATTTTAATACAAATATAGAATCAACATATCCTGAAATTAATTCCACAATATATCCAGATATTAAGAATATTACAATCAATTTTTATTATCCAGTAATATTATCTGATGGTAGATTATCAATATTTCAAATAATTGATCAAAGAAAATTTTTACGACAATCAACTTCTGGTATAGAATGTATATTAAATAATGATGATAAAAAAGTTATTGTAAATATACTTAATAGTACTTTTAGTAAATCAGGAGGAAATTTTTATATTAAAATTGATAATAATTTTGTTAAAAGTAGAATTTATGGAGAATCTTTATTAGGTATAAGAGAAAATGTTTGGAATTTTATAATTGAAGATAATAAATATTCATATACTATTACAAGTTCAACAGCTGTCTTACTTCGATTAACTGTAGAAGGATCAAATATATTTAAAAATTCTTCATATGATGAAAAAAATCAATTCTTTAATTCTTTATTGGATGAATTGGCTGATGCTGTTCAAATATCACGAGATCGTCTTAGTAAAAATGATAAAGATCAAATTGATCCTAAATCAAATGATGGAAAACTTTTGATTAATATAAATATTGAGAAAACTAAAGATCCATATGAAAAAGATGTTAATTCTGTAATTCAGGATATAAATTACATGATGTCAAATAATGATCAGACTCCTATTGGAAAAGGAAAACTTATTTATTTGGATTCTACTTATGGCTTTATTCCTGCTCGTAAGTAATTATTAACTAATAAAATTTTTTCGATATAATTTTATTTCGTGAATCGTGATTCTAAAAAAAAAAAAAAATTTTTTTTTTTCTTTTAAAAATAATATTTAGCGAATTATTTGCAAGAATATGGAATAATTTTTTAGGGTCACAATATTGTTATTTTTCAATTTAGTTTATTTATTTCTGATTTCGTTATTGATACTCTTTTTATAATTAATAATGCCAAGGATGTAAAAATGTTATATATTCCAAGGTATGGTACAATATTATATTAAGAAATAATTTATTTATCGCACGTGCGATGCAAATTTTTATGTTTATCATTGCCATTTTAAGGGGGGTGGCGATGTATAAGCAGGTTGATCAACATAAATAATTTACAAAAAAGGAAAGTGGCGATGCATCGCACGTGTGATGAATAAATTTACTCTTTAAATATATTAAAATGAGCTAAAAAATTTATTTTATTTTTTAATTAAAAAAAAAAATTTTTTTTTTAAATTTTTTTTATAGTTTAATATTTTATACTATTCCAATAGGATTAAATATGGCATCATCATTTCTAATAATAGCAAAAGAAAATACGAGAAATGAGTTTTTATCGTGGTTTACAGAAAATAATAGACTTGCTAGTATATTTACAATATTGGCGGGAATTGATATTGAATTATTAAGTGTTTTACATTCAAATCTGGCAGGATTTAAATATTTTCAAGCTCCATTTTCTGATTCCGCTAAATCGATAATATTTTGGGTTGCTTTTACAAACATTTTCGTTGAAGATATTCCTCAATTTATCATTCAGGTATTTTAAAAATTATATGATTTATTTGGTACTTGGAATTTTAATTTGATTATTTTTTTTTTTTTTTTTTTCTAGATTTTATTTAGAATGAAATCGATAACATTTGATATTATTCCAATTATTACTTTAATCTCTTCAGCGATAACTCTTACAATTAACATCATAAGTCGTTCACATCAATCTATAAATTATATTCGGGATAAAAGAAGAACGCGTCGTGTATTCCATTCTTGAACTTTAGGTATATTAGTTGGTTAGATTTTAAATATTTTATTTATTTTATTATTTGTTATTTATTTATTAAAAAATTGGTTGTTATAAATTTTACAATGTATATACAATTTATTAATTACTCTCGTGAAATGCGTGCAATGCGATACGTAAAATTAATGCATTTTTTAAAAATCATTGAATCAAAAAAAGGAGAGATCATCATTTAGGTTCAAAAATAGGTATTTTCCGGAATTCCGGACATACTTAAAAACACTAGGACAATTTTGAGACATTTATTTTTAATGGTAACACGATAAAGTCCACCGCCACAAATTATAGTTTAATGCATGTGATGCGCTGAAATGGGAAAATAAATAAAGTAAAAATGTTGCGTAATTCAGGGAACTACTCCAAAAGGAAATGCTTAAAAGTGACGCCATACCAAGCAGGGGGATAAACAAAATTTATACGCCCTCGCTTATTAGGATTAGATCAATGTAGAAACGATTCAATAGAATTCTGAGAATTCTGTAAAAACTTTTTTCTTTTATTTTTTGCCTAAAAGTCTGAAAATTCAGTTTATTTACTGCTACACAAGTGTCGATTTGTAGCATAATTAATTCTATGAAAGAATTGTTCGGGAATTTTTTTCTCTACAGAATTTCACACGAATAAATTTATAAATAATTAATTTTCTACAAAACTTTCATAATTTCTTTTTCAAAAATTTTATTATTTCTTGTCAATTTTTGTTAACAATGACTTTCTTACTCAATCCTATGTCAACATGTAATTCTCATCATTTGTTAAAAAAACTAAACTCAGGTGCAAACATTAAGTCGGAAACTGTTGCAAAACAAACAGTTGTTTAATGGCTCTTCTTTCTATTACACAGTACAACCCTTACAGTAAATCTAAATTTGTGGTGTAGCAACAAAGTCGTTATACTGCAGACGATTTAATAGTATTTTACCGTTTTTTGTTATTTTTTTTGATATTCCTCACCCCCAAGCCATAAATTGTCAAAAATATCAAAAAACGGTATTTATAACTCTTCTTAAGATATTAAGCAAATTTGTTGGGTAGGCAAAATTACCTATAAGTTATGATTTTGAAGGCTATACGATGCTTATATTAAGATTTATTTTGGTTTAAAAAAAAAAAAAATTACGTTGTTCCTTTTGGAAATGATCGGCAAATGATCGGCATGACGTCGTTTTTATATATTATATTTTTTACATAATAATTATTTGAATCACCTTTTTTATATGAATTTTTAATATTTTTGTTCTTTTGTGAATCATGAAATTAACCTTAATATACATTAAAAATCTTATTTTTTTTTCGTCTTTCATTGTTTTTTAAATTAATCGCCAACGCGTTATTAACGTAATTTTAATTACAATGCGGAGAATAAAAATGATTGATTTGTTTCTTATTTACATAATCTTTTGTTGTTCATTTATTTGTATAATTAATGTGATATATTTTTTATCATAAGTTAAAAACAATCCATTTAATATCACAAGTATTATCAGGATTAAATATATTTTTTATATTGTTCTTTGGTAAACAAAATAAATAAATTATGTTATACAAATCAAAGATACGTATGTATATAATTAAATCACTTCTTAGATTACCGTTAATATTAAAAAATAAATAACATAAATAATTTTTATAATAATAGTAATTACATGAACTATTCGCTATTATTCAAAATTATTTAGTGTTGATTACGAAAAATTAATATAATTCCAAATTTTATTTACTCGGAGCGTTATCCTCAGATTAGCACGATTTTCACGCCCACTAACGCACCTAAGGACTATATTGAATTAATGAAAGAATGTTGGGATTCTAATCCAGAAAAAAGATCTAAGGCAATTGAATTCTATAAAAAAATTAAGAATATTAAAATTGAAGAATGAAATAATGAAATCAGAATTATAAAATCTTCAGATATTGGACCAATACCAAAACAGCAATAAATGATAGATATACTAAAAGTATTGTAGTAACACTTCATATGTTATATTAAATAAAAGAAATTGTAATATTTAAATTGAGATTATTGGAATATTTCAAGTTGATTTTTAGATTTATCGTCATTTCAAATTAATTCAGATAAATAATTCAATTTTAATTATACTTAATCGAATTTTAATCGTATTTTTATTTTTTTCCTATTAACAGATGTCGCACACTCGCACTTGTCGCACCAAGTAATTAAAATCATATCATGATTATTTATTAATTTAATATTATGATTGTTATTATTTTAATTCATAGTTTCGTTTACTATTTTATTAATAACTCAACTAATTAGTCCAGAACAGAGAACGGAGTGAAGGGTCTTCCATTCAGTCACGTGATGATTCTACACATGATGGTTAAAACTCATTCCTATGTATTAATTAAGTGATTTATTTATTTTTCGTATTATATTTTATTCAAAAAAAATGTATGATATAAATTATTATTATAGATTCTGTATTAGACATTTATGTAATTATGTATGAATCAAGTGATTTATTATTTTTCGTATTATATTTTATTCAAGATTTCAAAAAAATGTATGATATAAATTATTATTATAAAGATATTTCTGTTAACCCTTGTTGCTCGTCATGTGTGGCTAATTATGAGCATTGTTAATCTTTTATTAATTGAGGTCTTCCACGCTGGACTCAACAAAAATTTCCCAATTAATAATAGATCCCGATCTAATAGGCCCAGAAATATATAAATAAGGATCAGGTGGCGAAAATGAGCTGCACGCAGAGACTTTTTATATAATGTGAAAAAATAAAATTTTATTCTAATTTACCATTTTTTCAATAATGTTTTTCTAAAATTTCACTTTTTTACCTTTAGAAATTTTTTTCAATTAATACTAAATATTACAATGCGGTTAACGTACAGTAAATATATTATATAAATAAGATTAGCCCAAAAATACGCAAACTAATTTTTTACATATAAAAATTTTTAAAAATTTTGATAAAAAACACGCAATCTTGATGACTTAACTATGGATGAAAAATTCTTAAATTGTACGCTAATCAAAACTTTACTCCGTCTAATTCCACTATGATGGAGACGCAACTGTGTACCCTACCCCTGTATATATATTTCTGGGTCCTGATCTAATTAACCAATATAAAATGATATTGAATGAAGAGCGTTAAATTTACGCAAAAGTTTCTCGTTTTTCAATTATTTATCTATACCGTGGTTTTTATATATAATAATAGCAAAATTGAGTAAACAAAATATTATATCTGATAATTATTGGGAGATTTGATGCTAAAAAAAATGGTATATACAAAATGTTATAGAATGTATAACTTTTGAAACGTTATTAATTACAAATGTTAAGGAATTATTTGAGATTTAGTAATTCTATTAGTTGTCTGATTTATACATCTAAATTAATTTTCATATTTTTGATTTTTTGATCAAATTAATTTTAATTTTGGGTAACCAGAATTAGATAATTAGTTAAAAACCTAATATTGGAATATAGTATCATAAATTCAGTTTTGATAGCCAAAATTAATTATAATTTTGGTAGATTATTCTACCAGAATTAATGATAATTTGTTGTTATCCTTTTTGGTAGATTTTTTTCTACCAGAATTAATGATAATTTATGATTGTCCTTTTTTGGTTATAAACCTAATATGGAATATAGTAGTACAAATTCACACTTTTAGTTTTGATAGCCAAAATTATTTATAATTTTCAGCAAATTATTCTACCAGAATTAATGATAATTTATAATTATCCTTATGGAATATAGTAGCACAAATCTTCATTGATAGGAATTTATTTTAATTTTCACTTTTTTTAATATGGAACATAGTAGTACATCATGTAATAAAAAATTAATTCAACAAAATGTAAAATTTAAGTAAAAAAATAATAGTTTGTGATCAAGTTGATACATTACAAAACAAAATAGAATTTTAATTGGTATATTATGCAATCAACAGAAGTTTATTCGCCACACTTATAAAGTTTGAAATATAATGTAACTACGTTGTATCATTTTGCAGCGATAAATATAATAATGTTAACCTGCTTCCTCTCACGATTCTCTTAAGAGGAGCGTGTAGTCACGTGATTTACAATAAGACTACAGTATCAATGGCGCAAAAATTTAAAATATGAAAGTACTTTAGTTTGAATATTATGTATTATTTTGTTATTATTTTTGTAAAGACATGTGAAAACATACCTATAGAATTCAAATACTTTTTTTTAAAAAATAATATTATATTTTCCAGTAGAGAGATTCACAACCTTTTTGGAACTTCTTTTGATATTTTCTCCAAAATATAATATTTAAGTCTAAATAAAAACTATACCTGGTGAACTCTCGGGTTCCAAAAAGTAAGAAAACAATTTTTTTTTTTTTAATATTTAGTAATTTAAAATGTTTTATTAGACACGGACGTACTAAAAATTTTTTGCGCCATGATAGTCAATTAAAAGTCACGTGATTACACTCATGATTTTTTTTTTTTAAAAAAAAGTGCCAAATTACTATCTCAGCAATAATTAATTACAGAATTAATATGTAAAGAAAATCTATCTGCTATTTGTCACACCAATCAGTTATGGCCGTAGGCGCAAAAAGTATATACAATTGACGCAATAAAGTTGTACTTAATAATAGAAAAGTTTGAACCAAGAATTTTATTAATTGAAACATTTTATATACAAAATAAATAATTTATTTTTAAAATATTGTTAATTCTTAAATTTTTTAATTTCATCCGCACTCCTATAGAACACATTTTTTATATTTTTAATAATCCCTTCACAAGTTTTATAATTATCAACAATTTCAGCAGAATCGAATTTAATCAACTTTTGTCCAACTTCTGCTGCAGCCTGACAAATTTCAACTTGTTTTTCGTCACTCAGATCACTAACTAAAGTATTGATTAAACTCACACACTTATTATTAAAAAAACTTTTAACTTGCCCTTTCTCGTCATCATCAATATCACAACAATCTAATATTGTACCGTATATATTTGAGTATCCTTTGAGATATAATTCTTTAAATAATTCGGAAGCTTTGTCACTATCTTTATTAACACCTTCTCCTCTCTTATATAAAATGGCAAGATTATTTTTAGCTAACTCATGTCCTTGATCTGCAGATTGCTGATATAATTCGGCTGCCTTTTTCTTATCAACACTAGTTCCAATTCCCTTACTATAACAGTACCCTAACATAAACTTTCCGTTTAAACATTCTTTAGAAGATTCTTCAAATAATTCAAAAGCTTTCTTTTCATCTTTATCAACACCATCTCCTTTTCTATACATTTGTGCGAGATTATATTGAGCTACACTATGCCCTAAATTCGCTGCTTTTTGATATAACTCAAAAGCTTTTTCTTTGTCAATATCAGTTCCGATTTCCTTATAATAACACTCTCCTAACATATTTATTGCGTTTAAGTATTCTCCTTCAGCTGAATTTTCAAGTAAGTTAAAAATTTTCTCATTATCTCGACATACAACTTTTCCTTCTTTATACATACAAGCAAGATTATACTGCGCTACACTATGTCCTAAGACTGCCGCTTTTTGATATAATTCGACCGCCTTTTCCTTATTAGCATTAGTTTCAATTCCTAAATGATTAAAAACTCCGAGTAAAAAAATATAATTTGAATCATATTGGTTTTCCAATAACCACTCATAAACTTCTTCTGATTTGACATTATAAACTTCACAATAACGACAAATAGTAGACACTTCCAATTTTTTTTCTTCATTAAAAATTAGGTTAGCCATTTCATCAGCTATTACGCTTATTAATGGCTTTATAAATGAAGAATTTGAATTATTTATTAATTCTTCATCACTTTTATCATCTTGTTCATCTTGTTCATCTTGTATATCTTGTTTGTTGGAACATTCCATTTTCTTACATGCAATTAAATCATCAGAAGCAACACAATTTTCAATTTCACCAGTAATTGAATCATTTTTTTGTCGTCCACTTACAGTATTATATTCGTTTATTTCGCTAATTGAATACATAATTGCTCCCAATTGATCGACTACTTCATTCATGGTCGGACGAAAAATTGGTTCTTTATCCCAACATTCTAATAAGAAAGAAGGTTAATTTTAGATTAAATAAATTCTAAGGATTTAATGTTTTTTCGCATAAGGAAAAAAAAAATTAAAATTTACCGGTATAAAGCGTAACATAAGCCTCAGGCGTATCAGGAATAGGTTCTTCCCTAGAACCTTGTGAAATTTCAAAAGCTAACCCAATATCATATGCTTCACCTTCACTACAAAAAGGTTGTTTACCACTGGATATTTCCCACAATAACACGCCAACACTATATACGTCACTCAATTCATTTAATTTATATTTTTGATTCATTAATCTTTTTGGATCAATATAAGGAATAACACCAAATAATTTTGAAGATTGCACGTTAGACGTTTCTTCAATACTCTTTGATAATCCAAAATCGGCCAATTTAATCTTATTCTTAAGAACCAATATATTATTGGAGTGCTATCAAAAGAATAATATAAATAAATATATACATGCAAATATTATAGATAAAAAACATTTATAATAATTTGTAATAATTACCAGGTCTCTATGCACAATACCTTCGTTATGTAAACATGAAACGGCACTGGCAAGTTGATAAGCCATATTTAGTTTATCTTTCCAAGTAATATTATCGAAATTTTTCCCCAAATATTTTCGAAGCGTACCATTATCGGCATATTCCATTACTAATGAATACCGGTTCAAGTTTAATAAATTATTTTTGTTTTCTAATAATATTATAAAAAAACTTCATTAATTATTGAGCTTGTATAGTATTATAAAGTCCTTAAAGGACGATAAATGATCAATGGGAGTACGTGATAATTACCTGGCTCATATTTTGTAATTCCAAAGAAACGAATAATATTATTATGAAAATCAACTTCACGTTGAAGTTTTAACTAAATAATTTGAATTAAAAATTAATATGTAGAAAAATAACTAATCATATCAATGACTTACAAATATATATATATATATATAATTACCTCACGAGATATTGCTTTAATTGTAGCATCATCAAAATTAAAAAAAGTTTTTAAGGCTAAATATTGTCCTGAACTTTTCCAACTTGCGCGGAAAACTTTTCCGAAACCTCCAGTACCAATTTCTTGAATATTGCTAAAATTCTCGAATTCATAATATTTAAAGTATTTTTTAGCTATTGCTTCTTCAAGCCAATCGATATCTGTTGTATAATCAACATCATTATATTGAGACATGGTAAATAATATAATGATTATAATTGTTTTGCTGTTTATTTGAAAAAAAAAAGAAAGAAAAAATAAAATAAAATAATTCTTTTTTAAAAATGTAGTCTCGTTGATAAGGTTTTTGAATTTTCATTTATTGACGTTATTGGTTAGTCTGTTTATTTATATCTTTATTGATCATCTGACATGATAATCAACAATAATTACATATTTAACAAGATTTAAGTGAAACATATTATCATGTGAAATATACGAACATCAATTTATTGATAAACAAATATCCGTTTATAGCGGTTCGACCTTTTAACGATACTATAATAGTATTCGGTCTTTATGTATTTGGGAAGAAATCCTTCGCAATCATTTGTGCGAGGAACCATATACAACCTATTTTGAAATGCCAATCAATAACTATCTCGTTATACAAATTTGTGCGAGGTGATCTACAAATAATCAAAACCTGTACTCCGTAATCGTTCCGAAAATTTCTTCAATAAAGAGCATAATAATAATGACATTCTAAATCGCATAAATATTCGTGGCGCAGCAAGTTTAATACAATTTTCCCAGTATTATGTCACGTTCATATGTTATGCTGATTATTTCTAAAAATATACGCTTTATTTTACAAAAAAAAATAGCGTAATTGCATTAATTATAACAACAATTATATTTTAAAGAAGGTTTTGCAATTTTTTCGTTCGTTGTCACGTGAACAAAATTAAAATTATGATTGGTTTCGAATTTTTTTGTTGTATTATTTTGAAGATCGTACCATTTTGAAAACCACTTTCCTATTAAAATTTCATTTACATCATTTTTTTTATTCCCCCTTATTATCAATTATGTATAATCATTCATTATATGCTTAACAAAAATATCAGTGAAAATCTGCATGATCCTATTAGGCTGAACGATAAAAAAATTAATACGGTTAGGCGCAAAATATTCCATTCATTCCTTCTTTATTATATTTAAAAGCTTTGTTTTTAACTCTTAAAATCAAACCAAATTTACATAATTGACGAAGGAACAGCTCTGCCTTATATTTTGCGTTATTTATAAAGGAGAGTGAGACTATTAAAAGATAATTTTGTATTTAAGACTAGTATCAAGATGGTAATTTCTCAAATCGAAAATATTTTTTTAGAAATAGAAAATTTAATTAAACTTCTATTCCATGATAAAACTCTAAATCAACCTAAGATTGAGCAAAAATTTGAAGAAGGAAAAGAATTAATAAATAGAATAGACGATGATGACGAGTATGGACTCATTAGGTATAAGTATCACGCAACATACGCTAACTATTTAACGTTTATTGGCAAAATAGTAAGAGCTAGTAAACAAGAAGAACTAGCAAAGAAATTAAAAATTTTTCTAAGAAACTCAAGAAAATAGACACCTACAAAACAGAATCAAGATTATTTATAGAAGCTACTCTAAGCAATATCAATCAAGGTTTTAATATTGAAAAAGAAAATAAAGAGGATACTCAAGAAACTGTAGAAAAAGAATTAGAAAATATTCAAAACATTTTGAGAAAGTTTTAAATGGTTTAATGTTATATCCAAATCTTTTGAAGATTATAGGAATATTGTTACATATGAGACAATTTTGCTAATTGATTTGAATGCGTCTCTGACTTCAAATACTAGTAATGAAAATAGGCAACAATTGACTTCTTCTTTAAATATTTTAAAATCATTAGCTAGTAAATCAGCTTATTCAAATAGATTAGCTTTTATATATCATACCTTGAATTCCCAAAATAAAAAAGAAATTTTATTTGGCAATACTATATTTACAGAAGAAGAAATTAATAAGCGGTTCAGAGATATTGCTTTATACTTCCATTCTGATAAAACAAATCGACCTAATACTGCAACTTGGCTTCAAGAGAAGCATCAAAGCCTAGGCGCTGAACTATTAAATTCTGCACTAGAATTTAAAAAAAACTTGTTAAATGACTTAATTGTAATCTTACAAAATAAAGGTTACATGACTTTTCATGAAAACAAAGCATACAAACTTTGGAAAATTACAATCGATTATCATAACGCAGCTAAAGGTCAATGGAAAAAATTGAAACTGTTAAATGAAGATGATATTAAAGAAATTTCTTCCAAAAAATTAAAGCTTTTTGTCGTGGATAGTGAAATGTTGGCATATCAGGAATATCGAGCAGCTTGCAAAATTGCTGATCAAGCTAAACTACTAAAAAAGCAAGTAGAATTGCGAGAAAATATAGCATTATGCTTATACATTGCTAATAAATTTTTTTAAGCTAATTTATTTGCTTTATCGGCAATTAAATTGCAGCTTAAAAATTATCAAAGGATTACGCAACAGGATTTTATTAAAACAAAAAAGATATTTGATAAAGTTAAAGGTGGAAATCCTATGACAGATACTAATACTACAACGAATACTAAAAATACTACTAACCAAAATACTGCGATAAATCTAATAGACAAACTTGATAATACAATGGCATTAATAAAAATAGTGGACCAGAAAATTTCTCTTTTTGATAAAAAATTCATTTCAAGATTCAATTAACAACGATATAGTGCTTAAAGCTGACCGGAGTTTAGTTCGTTATCAAGTTCCTAAAGAAGTGATTTTGCATGCCAAGAATCGTGCTTTAAAGCATAAAGCAGCAGGAATTGCAGCTATGGGAGGAGGAATATCTATAGCCGTGGCTTCTTACATTTACATCTATCAAGCAGCAACTATAATAGGAATTAGTGCATCAGTTGCTGGTTCTCTTGCGCTCATTGTCGGTTTAGGCATATGGGCTGGCATAGAGTTATGGAACAGAGCTACCCTTCTTTTAGAAGAGACGGAAATTCGTGAAAAACTTAATAATATTATGATTGAAACACTAAAAGCTTATGATAAAGGAAATTATCAAAAGTTTCTCGATGAACTTTCTGTAGAATTTAAGGCAGATGCCAGTCTCTTAAAATTAGAAGATTGTATTAATACTGATTATATAATAGATACCCTCTTAAATTATGGTTTTAGATCTGATGGTATTGCCTACCTTTTAAACTTGTTTGGTGAGGTCTTAAGTAGCAGGAAAATAAAAGTCAAGGGAAAAACAGCAAAGGACATAAAGGCACTTGCAACAAATGCTTTTGATGGAGTACTAAGTGAAAAACTTAGAACTGAGGCTAAAACTTGGGATAATCGTATTTTTGAATTACGTAAAAAATACAACATATGTAGTACTTACATTAAATTTAAAGATTTTATCTCACTTGAAGATTATAATGATTTAGATAAAGAATGTAAAGATGATTCTCAAGAAATGCCTTTCCAATCAAGGTTAGAAGAAGTAAGTAATATCACAAAAATTAATCAAGCAATTTTTGATATATTAGATGATGGTAAAGAAGAAATTGAGCGAGCCATCAGAACTATTAAAGATGTCCAAAATTCAATTGATTGTAATTATCAATTTGTCAATACAGCCAAATGGCGTCATGAAGCTTTGAAGGATTTATTATGGATCATTGGTGAATCACCCAAAGAACCATCTAAAGAATCGCCTAAATTATCTCTAATTACCTATATAGATAATGATGAATATGTTGGTTATCTAAATAAACAATTACAGCAAGCATCTTTAAACCAGAAAAAAATACGCCTCTATAATAAAATAGCAGTTTATTATGAACAATTAGCCGAGAAAGAGGGAAAAACTAATCACTTAGACAGCTTATGTCATTGGATATCTGCTCAAAAGAACTATGAGAAAGCACGTGTAGTAGATCCAGAAAATCTAGATGCTGCGCTTGGTATTGCAAAATGCTTATTTAAATTATCTAAATATACAAAAGTTATTCAACTTCCTAACACGATTCCAAATTTAACCTCTTTATCAGAATATTGGTACTTTCGCGGCATTGCTTATTATAAGAAGGCTGATTATAAGAATGCTAAAGAGAATATCATTGAGGTGTTGAAGCTAGATAATAAAAACAAGTTAGCTGATGAACAAAGATTAATTCTCAAAAAACTAAGCGAAGAAAAGACAATTAAATGGCATATGCCCTATGAAAAAAGATTATCCAATTTTTGTGCAATATTTGTTCAAGTCCGTGCAGAAATCATACAATTATTGCAGATTTTTGGATAAAAATAGTCATACCAATTTTATAGTGTATTAAAAGTGTGCGATTTTTATACAATTGAAAATAAACTTAAATTAAGTATACAGAAATCGTTCAACTTTTGTGCAATAAAAGTTTAGGATATAAAAATTGTGCGATTATTGTACAATATTTAAAAATATACGAAATATACGTTCTATTTTAATACAATTGTTACAATTGCACGATGGGTGATCAGTATATGCATTTTACTTTAATTGTAAGTTGCGAATATATTTAATTCCTAAAAAGTAATATATATACTGTTTACCCATTTATTATTCGTGGTAAAAATTAAAAATTATTGGTAAAATTCGTAAAATAACTTTCTCCTAACATTTTTTTAAGCATTTTTAAGCATTTTTTATAAACTTCTTTACATTTTCTCACTCTTATAATATTTTGAGTCGAAGTTTAAGGAAATCGCGATAAAACCGAAAACCGCGTTTGCTAATAGGTTTTTATATTATAGTAAAACTTGAAAATCACGTTTACTAATATTCGCAAACATTATAACACTCTTTATTACGATCACCTCCTCCGTCTTTACAATTACTTCTTCGATCATTTTCCTTTACTACAATCACCTCCTTCTCCACCACAATTACCGCCGCCACCCACCATATACACCATACTATTCGCAACCACCATCACTATCATGCTCGACGTCATCTTTCTTTTTTCTTATCCACCTTCGTTACATCCTAAATTTACCTTCGTTGTTACATCTTAAATTTACTTAATTTTTTTACCTTTCCTTAATGATTTTTTATAATAAATAAATGTATAATTATTTGCTTGGATATTCTTTTATTGATATAATTCAGTTGATTAATAAAAAAATTTTTTATCAACAATGAAACTCATCAATTTTTTTGATTTTATTATAACTGTATTACTAAGCAATTTTTTATAAAATCCGGTATTGTAAAAAGTGTATTTATTGTATAAGAATAAATAAAATAATTAATAAAAAAATGCTCTTATTTAAAAAACTTTTCACTATATCAATCAAAAAGCCAGAATATTAAGATCTAGACCAGTCAAAGAACTCACGGCACTTAAGGTTAAAAAACTCACAATCAAATCTTCTGTATAATGTATATAATGGGAAAACAATTATAATTAATTATATAAATTATTTTTATCTCAATTTATTTCAATATATATATTTTTATTTGTTAAAAAATCGTTAATTTATCATTTAAAAAAATAAGGTAGAATAATTATTAAATATTTTTTTAATTTTATTAATAAATATAATAAATAATAAAAATTAAAAATTAAAATTATTCGTGAATTTAAATAAATAAAATTAACGTATAAACTTTACAAAATTATAAAATTTCATATCCCGACACTTAAATTACGGAAACTTTTATTGAAAGAGAGGTAATTGGTATGTACCCTTATATAAAAAATCTAAGTAGACTAACTATCAAAAAATAAAAAAAAGTCTTATATACGAGGTTGTTTTCATATAAAAGTTATATATTCCATACACGTTCATGAGTATAAGTAAATGTTCTACCAAATATATCTAGGCTATATAATTAAAGGTCGGGTAAGGAACAAGAATTACATAGATTAGTTATTTATAATAATTTATGACATTACCAAACATAAATTAGAAAGGAACGGCTAACTAATGCTATTGTTGGCACAAATCAATAGAACCACCAACAAAGTATCATTAAAACCTACTGTAAAATAACTTCAATACAAGTAAACGCATTGTCGGTATCGTCAACAACAAACCCAAATATACTAGTAACAAACTAGTAAATTTAAGCGTTCATACCTTAAATTCAAAGTCAATATTGTGTTTCCAAAGCGTGAATTTATTTATAAGTTGAAGAAGTATGAGTAGATAATCATAGAAAGGTGTGATCATGAAGAATTTGCTCATCTAAACACCTTGAGATATAGTTAATTTCACATGACAACCTATAAATATGAATTATAAAAAAGAAAAAATGAAAAAAATTGTTAACCTATACGCGAGTGGCTATTAAAATATCTAATTAAATATCAAAAGAAACACGTAGGGATAACACTTTCAGCATAGGGGTGTTAGCATAAGGGTGTAAGCGAAAATAATGAAAATAATGCTAAAAGGCGTTCAGAGGAAAACCTTATCTTTCCTCGCAATACTGTAGGTTTCATTGAGCATTATACACGCAGACAAAATAATAAACACCCACCAATATATATTTGACATTTAATGATATGAATAATTTTAATTTTTTAATAAGTTGAACGTAAAAATTGCATTTCACAACTAGGCCAATTAGTCATTTCTTGAAATATTGATATTTTTTATAAAGAACATAATTATTAAACAATAGAAATATTTAATGGAAAAAAATTTTAGGGACGAGGAACGAAAAAATAACTTTTATTTAATGAATACGTGGGAATAAAAAAGTTACATCATAAAAATCAGCACCTAGAAATATATATACAGAGGTAGGGTACACAGATGCATCACCACCATAGTGGAATTAGACAGAGTAAAGTTTTGATTTGCGTACAATTTTAGAATTTTTCATCTATAGTTAGGTCATCAAGTTTGCGTATTTTTGGTCTAAATTTAGCTAATCTTATATATATATAATATATTTACTGTACGTACTTATTTAATTAGTATTAATTGAAGAAATTTCTAAGGATTAAAAAGTGAAATTTTAGAAAAATATTATTGAAAAAATAGTAAATTCTATTGTAAATTCTATTTTTTCACATTACGCCACCTGACCCCTATATATATATTTCTGGGTCCTAAAAAATCAATAAAGAAAAATTTTTACAGAATCTGCAAAGACATCTTGTATTACAACAAGAAATTTAGTAATTGACGGGATTAATATTGCAAGTGGTCTAATACAAATTGAAGTTACATCTTATAATTTACATATTATTTGGCTAACAGAAACGAATTTTATGGGTCGTTTATTCATGTTTAGATTTAAAACGGTTAGAGATTCTTTGTATTAACGCATTTGATTCTTAGTATTAACACATTTTATTATCACTATTAACCGATCATTATATAAAATTAATGTAAATCTTTTCATTTATTACTTTTTTTACGAATTGCGAATTAATTTAATACATCTGACAAAAAAATTAGTATTAATTGTATAATATTAATAAATAAAAAATATTAAAAATAATATATATGAAAATAAATATATAATTTTATAAAGAAAAATTTTTTTTTTATTATTAGTTCGACCCCAATCGAACATTTTTTAAAATATTAATCCGACCCCAATCGGATAATATAATCGAACATTTTTCAAGATTAATCCGACCCCAATCGGTAAAATAGTTCGACCCCAATCGAATATTTTTTATTAATCCCGAAAAATAGTTCGAGCATAGCATAATTCAAAAAAAAAAAAAAAAAATAATTCTTTTTAGTCTAACCTAAAATTAAAAAAGATTAAAAAAAAAGGAGAAAAAAAAGGAGTTAAAAAATTAAAAATATTAGTTTTTTAAATTTAAAAAAATAACTAATTATTTTAAATTTTTACTTACAAAATTATATTAAAAAAATTTTTTTTTTAAAACCAACCAACCCAGATATTCAGATACTAATCGATTCCAGATACTAAAAACTGAAAAAAAAATTTTGTAAATTAGTTTAAATTCTAAGCCATTAGTACTAAAAAAATTTTACCCACAAAATATAAAAAATTTTTAGAGCCAAGGCTCTTTTATTTTAACATTATTACAACTCATAACCATATGATCGTCCGCCCAGCAATTAACGCAATGGCCTTTATACTCTTTCGGTATTTTAGTACAAGCGAAGATGTAATGATTATCATTACAATAATAGCAAACAGCTCCTATTTTTATTAATTTAAAAATTTTATTATTAAATAATTTATAAAATTTACTTTTACATTAAATTAATAAATTCTATTACCCGTTGATTCAAAACATTCGCGCTGTCGGCGCTGTTGACGTTGTTGCTGCCGTTGCCGTTTCTGCGATTGCTGTGATTGCTGCTGTTGCTACTTTTGCTGTTGCTGCTTTTGCTGTTGCTGCTGTTGCTGTTGCTGCTGTTGCTGTTGCTGTTGCTGCTCACTGTTGCTGTTGCTATTGCTGCTGTTGCTGTTGCTGTTGCTATTGCTGCTTTTGCTGTTGCTGCTGTTGCTGTTGCTGCTGTTGCTGTTGCTGCTGTTGCTGTTGCTGTAAAGAAGGCCAGTATGATGGAATTGATGGAGACTGGTGATATGTTGTTGTTGCTGCTGCTATTGTTGTTGTTGCAATAGCTGCTGTTGTTGCGGTTGATGCAGCAGTAGTTGTTAATGCGGTTGGTATTGGTGATGTTGTTGATGCGGTTGTTGATGCGGTTGGTAGTGTTTGTGCAGCTAATATTAGTGCACTTGTTGTTGTTGGTGCGGTTGTTATTGGTGTTGGTACATTTGTTACTGCTGTGGTCGTTGCTGCTATTGTTGCTGCTCTTGCCGCAGCTATAATAATATAATAGAAGTTGTTTTAAAGTTGTTAAATATATATATATATAAAAAAACAAATTTTATTAATTTTATTACCAATTCCGAACGAGGATACTCCGAACGAAGGTACTCCGAACGAGGGTACTCCGAACGAGGGTGTTCCAAACGAAGGCGAAGGTACTCCGAACGAGGGTGCTCCAAACGAAGGCACTCCGAACGAGGGTGCTCCAAACGAAGGTACTCCGAACGAACTAAACGTAGAAGTTTTCCCACTTCCAAATACTGGTGGTCTGTTTATTACAAGTCGTCAAAAAACAAAAAATGTATTTTAAGATTA